CAATAAAGTGCAGTAAAAATGCCATTGAAACTGTCCTTGTAAAAGCTACCAGTAAAACTCTTGTCTCTGAATATCCTGGGAAGGTGACATTAGTGTGGATCATATTGCAGTATTTATGCTAAAGGTATGCTATGATGTTACAGCCCAGCAAAGGCAGAAGTGAGATCAGACTTTTTTGGATTAAGCACAGAGTGGTTACTGGAATCTGGGATGACTCAATGCAAGACGCACTCCCCTTGCTCCTGCTCCCAATAATTAGATTCCGTATATGGAAAATTTTATAAATTTGTTATAACTTTCCAGGTGTAGAATCTAATTATTGGAGGTTCGTCTTGAATTTGCCCCCTTCCCACTGCTATAGCAGGTCACATAGTGGCTGGGGGGAGGTCAGGTGGCCCTCTTGCCCTCTGCCCCCTGAACTTCTTCCCCTCCTTACTATCAGACCTTTTTCAGGCTCTGTGCCCTTCCTAAATGCGTGCAAGTGGCAAATTTGAAACACAAGAGACCAAAAAACACTGACTTTGAAGTAAACATACTTGTAGCAATTTGCATATAAGGAAATTTATTATTGGTACCCATAGATTTGGTTCATCCAGAATTGATGCATTTTACTTTTTGCCAAAAAAAAAAGTGCTGCAGATGTTACCACAGGTACTGCATAAATGCACTTTTGAGCAGCACTTTTTTCTGTACTTATACATAATACAAACTAGGCATGATACTGGTCTAAAGCCCAAAGATGCATGATTTATCATATAGCTCATTGGGCTGGGCCCCAGAAGAGTCAACAGTGTTTCAAGCCATGGTGGCCCCACAGCCCAGCACTGCTCAATACGTGTGTGTGTGTACTCCAGGTTGTCCCCTCTCCTTCCCCCCTTGGATCCGTGGGCTAATTAGTCCCCCACTCATAACTGGAACTGGGTGTTCTTGCTGTGAGTCCTGGGATCCTCCGAACATGTATAATGCAGATGAGGCCTGGGGCTGCCTGGTCTGGTTCCACCTTATGGAGGCCGGGGTCCCACCAATCATGTGACAGGTCAAGAGAGTGGGCAACAAATCCTCTCCTCTATGTTGATGTTTGGTGATGCTTGCCAGGCATTTAAGGCTGGTAAAGAAACAGATATCATTGGAAACAGAAAAGAAAGGAACTGCTTAGCTGTGGGAGTGAAGAGGAAGTTGATATATATTTGATGGAGTGTTTCACCTTGAGCTGAAAAAGAGATGGTACTGAGGGGGACTGAACACAATGGGCACTATCTCTTATCCATATGGGCTGCACTAACCTGTCCTTCTGATAGGTTCGCATCAGCATCTCAGCCTTTGGCTAAGATCAAATGTAAGTTCAAATTTGGCTAAAATCAAATGAGATCCTGCCCATCTCCTACTGGCAGGGAGGTGCCAATGTGCCAAGCATGGGCAATCTCTGCAATGTTGTGGTGGTCATCCATGCCTTCTGCTTCCTGACCTGCCTGGACAAGATGGTGAGCAGCAGCATCATGAAGGAGACCACCCACAAGAGGATTGCGAGGCAGCCCACCGGATGCGACTTGGTCATCTTCCTGAGCAGCTTGCTAGAAAGGAGAGTTTGGTCCAGACACTGGGGACTTTGACTCACTGTGGAGAGGAGCCTGCGATGCCACATGCCACCTCCGGAAGCGCTTCAGCTGCAACTGGACTTGGACCAAGGAGTGCCAGGAGCTGGGAGTCTGCTGCTCCCAGCCCCTACTGCCAGCTGCATCACCATGTACCCCAACATGAGAACCCTCTTGGAGAGGTTCTTGAAGGATGCCATCTAAGCAACATACACCAGCAACCTAAGGGCAAAACCTGACCAGGGCAGGGTCTTCAAGCTCATCTCAAAGTGGGATGCGAGCAACCACTTCATGCCCAGTGGGAGCTTCATGTGTTTCACAGACTGGTGCTTCATCCACCGTGGCCACCCAAACTGCCTGCTGCTCAATGGCACCATCTGGTACAGAAACCTTGACAGGAGGTGTGCTAATGCTGTGATTGCAAGGCAGAGATTCTCCCCGACACACTGTGCACCTGCCACATATACCACTACTGTGCCAAGCTGATGTGGTGCCTCAAGGTGTCCAACACCATCCATGGTTGTGCTTTACTTACGTAAAGCACATCACAGGACAGCACCAGTACGTGGATCCCACCAGACTGCCAGCCAGAAGCAATGCAGAAGGGACCATCTGACCGTGCCCCCTGGCCGTACCGAATCTCCTCCAAGGACGTTAAATCCTGGACTCTTCCCTGCAATTGTATTCTGCATGTTGTTGTTTGAAACTGTTTCCCATACCATCTCCCTATTACGATGCAGTATTGTTGTGCAGGGTCTTCTGTATATTCTCTGCTTTATAACTGTTGTGCTCCCTCCCACCCCTAGTTTGGTGTGCGTTTCATATGTAACTTAGTTATGTTCCCATCCCTGCCCCTGTCCTCTACTATGTAGGCCCCTCCTTGGGTCTTTCTGTATTTCCTTGTGCTTTGAACTTTAACATTTTCTAATGCATTCAATTTTTGGTACCAGGGGGAGGGTGTCATCAGGGCTGGCTGTGGCCTTCCTGGTGCTGGTCTGTTATTGTAGCATGTCCAGGCCTGGTGCCAGTTGCCTCCTGGGGGAGCTACTGCTTGCCTTTTTAATGGCCACACATGCAGAAGGTTCCCATCAGTATGTTTACTCAATATGGTCCATGCATTTTACAGGCAAGCTCACTGTGGGCTGTATTCAGTCAACTTCATAATTCGTTTCCATTATTGAGCACATGGTGCTTCTGGCAACAGTTTAATGATAGACAGAGATCCTGGTTTTCTTTGTTTAAAAATCATAAATTCTCTGATTTAAAAAAAAAACCATGCTAATTCTCTGATTAAAAAGCCCAAACTGCAATGAAAATGAAAAATGAAATGCTGCGCTGTGTGTGTGGGGAGAGAGAGAGAGAGATGTGTATGTATATATCAATTGAACACTATTTTATTGATATATTTACAATTTTTAAAGCAATTTGGAAGCCTTCCAGTGCCTCAGTCACTATAATAAAATTAAATTCTAAACACCTATGAATTTTGGTATTTGATTTTTGGAGTTTTTTATCATAGAAAATCAGAGCTTCCCCTACCCCCTTTGCTCACAAGGATGTAGGGCCAGGCCCCTCACTCCCCACCCTCCCCAGCCCTGCTGGAGGAGAGGCCCCCAGATGCCAGGATTAAAGGACTAGGGACCCAGGTCCAGAGCCCTTTGCCCCTTGCAGCAGAGCTTGAGCCCTGACTGCTGCCTGCAGGAGGCAGCAGCTGCCACAGTGGAGTGCAGCACGGAGCCCAGCTACCCCCACCCCCATGGGCAGCACAGCCAGAGCAGAGCCTGTCAGAGAGGCAGATGCAGGCTGCCTGCTATGGGCTCGGACTCCCTGCCATGCTGCTCCCCCCTCTCCCTCCCCACGGGCCTCCGTGGCCCAACGGGGGTGGGACCCACTGCGTCAGGACAGAGTGGAGCTAGACGGGAAATCTCAGTGCCACCTCTGGGAGCCCTGCACCACCATGGTGCTGCTGCCAGGTGGGCAGGAGGCGCTTCACTATGGTGACAAGGAGAGGCAAAGAGCTTCCGTACCCGGTCCTTCTATGCCCTGCGGCACTGGGTCCCATCTGCTGGGCTGCGGAGGCCCCAGGGGGAGGGCAGCAGGGCACAGAGCCTGTAGCTGGCAGCCAGCACCTGCCCCACCCCGTCCCATATACAGATCTGGGGGGCATGTACTCTGTGTATTCCCCCCAGGACTGCACACTGCGGCAGGGAGCCATCACCCCCCTGCCCCCAGACAAGCCTCCTGCAGCTCCGTCCCGCTCCCTGCCCAGGTGCTGCGGCTGCGCATTCTAGCCCTGGGCCCCAAGCCCGACACTGCTTAGGCTGGGCAGCAGCCCCAGCCCTGCCCAATTCACTCCCTTCCTTCCTCCATTCCTATGGGGGCCTCAATCTCCCCTCTCCCCTGCCAAACTTACCTGCTTGACCACCCTTGCCCCCTGCTTGACCACCCTTCTCCCATTCCCCCAAGCCTTTTGCAGGCTGGAACTCTGCCAGCCTGCAAAGAGGTCTGTTAAAATGAAATCCACCTTTTTTGGTTAAAAGGGAAAATCTGCCTTTTTTTTTTCCATTTTTCCATGGGAAATGGAAAACCCGGATCCCTGATGATAGACAAGGCGTGTCTACATGTGCAGTAGATACAGGAGCAGTTGACCCATGAGTAAATGTTCCCGGGCAGGCATCTACATGTGCAGGGAAGTGGGAGCAGATTTGCTGCTGACAGCAGCAAACTGCTCTCATTTCCTGGGGCCCTGCAATGGGCCCCTGCCGCCACAAGGGGGAGTTCTTGGCTCCACCTGGGTGCTAGCCTAGGGGCTGGCAGGGAGCACAGGGCCAGGAGACAGCTGTATCCTGGTGAGGCCTGGGACATCGCTTCCTGCCCCTGGGGGTCTGCCTGCTGCTGGGGCAGGGAAAATGTCCCTCTGCCCCAGCAGCAGGGAGCTCCTAGCCCTGGATCTCGACAGAGGACTTGGAAAGAGCTGCAGGGGAGGAGCAGATCCCAGCCCCCTGTTGCAATCTGCTGGTGGGGCAGCTAGCAGTGAGCCCCCAGCTGGGTGAAGAATCCCTACCCAGCTGGGAGCTTGCAGCTAGTTGCCCCACTAGTTGCCCAATACTAGTTGCTAGTTGCCCCACTAGTTGCCCAATAATGATCTCGGAGCAGGGGGGCTGGAGCTCCCTGCTGCTGGGGCAGAGGGACACAGTCCCTGCCTAGGCTCTGGCAGAGTCCGCCCTGGCAGCATGGAGCTCCTGGGGGCAGCAGTCTCCTGTCCCGTGGTGGCTGGCTGGCTGGGAGAAGATTTGCTCCCGGTCAGGTATCTACATGAGTGCTACTACACAGTTACTAATTGCATTTGCTACTTGCATTTAAGATAGCAAATTTACTCACAATTAGCAAGATTTACTGCACAGTAAGCATGTGCATGTGTTAGATGCAGATGCTTACTGTGCAGTAAACCACACTACTTCGCAGTAAAGTGTCTCATGTAGACATACCTACAGTACATTTAATGAGGTTTTCTTGTATTCAAATGTAAGATTAGGCTGTTTTTCCTTATGCTAGTTGTGAGGGAACCTTGCCTTATGTTAGAGTAAATATTGTACTTCGGATTTTAAACCCATGCGACTAGGAGAAATCAGTAGATTTTTCTTTGTCTTTGGCCTTGTTTTCAATGTCTGTGCTCTTGAACCAAAGTGCTGATGGCTATTATATGCCAGTTACTTTTTAAAGACTGGGGTAATAGCTACAAGAGACAGACATTGTTTTATAGCTAGACATGAATAACTTTGCACATGCTGTTGTGCCTTTGTTGCAAAGAAGGCTAACACTGATGAGGACACATCTGGAGTAGTGTGTCCAGTTTTGGGACACCAACTACAGAAAGGTTGTGGACAAATTGGAGGGCTGGTCCTGCTTTGAGCAAGGGTTTGGACTAGTTGATCTGTATGTCTATTCTTTAGGACATCCCAAGGGAATACAGGGTCTAATGGTCACAAACTGCTGGAAGACCATTTTAAACTGGACATAAGGAAACAATTCTTTACCGCCCAAGTCTCTAGAGTCTGGAATAGGCTCTGCAAGCACCTACTCTGGAAACGTTTAAGAAATGCTTGGATGCTTATCTTGGTGAGGTGATCTGACCCCAGATGACTTCCTGGCCCTTGGACAGGTGGCTGGACCCAATGATCTCACAAGGTCCCTTCCAGCCCTAACATCTGTGAAATTATGAAATCTCTTGAGGTCCCTTTCGACCCTAATTTTCTATGATTCTATGCCAGTAAGCTCAGTTCAGACTGAGCAAAAGAAGTGAAGCAGTAACCCTTTTCCAAATGCAAAGCAACTACATTTGTAGACTGGTTATTTCACAGGCAAATATGACTGAAGCTTTTGCCTAATTAAAGTTGCTTAACCCAGAATAGGACTGTGTGTACACCAAAGTGAATTTGTATCTGAAATTATTTTTAACCAGAACTCCTCTAACACAATTTCCCTTCCAACTGTCCTGCATCATGTGCTTGTCTTTGGGTGCACGTTTTCTTTGTCAGATTAAACATGCTTAAAATATCAATACAGTGGCCTCTCTTTCTGTATCTTGTAGATTTCACCCTGTGCAAACAAGACCAGCAATAAGTGCAAAGTAAATACAGTAGACCCCCGATTTACGTGATTCCGACTTACGCACGTCTCACATTTACATGATTTTTTTATTAGGGTCCAGATTGGAAAATGCCCCTCGAGATGTGTGTCATTCGCGTATATATGCGAACACTTACCACTTATACAATGGGGAACTCCCTACTTGAGAGCACGGAGGCGGAAAGGGATCTTGGTGTCATTATTGACTCCAAGATGAACATGGGCCGACAATGCGAGGTCATGGTTGGCAGGGCTAACCGGACCTTGTCGTGCATCCACAGGTGCATCTCGAGTAGAGCCAGGGAGGTGATCCTCCCCCTCTATGCAACGCTGGTCAGGCCGCAGCTGGAGTATTGTGTCCAGTTCTGTGCGCCCCATTTCAGGAGGGATGTGGACAACATGGAGAGGGTCCAGAGGAGGGCCACCCGCATGATCCGGGGACAACAGGGCAGACCCTACAGTGAGAGACTGCGGGACCTGAACCTATTCAGCCTCCACAAGAGAAGGCTGAGGGGGGACCTGGTGACCGTCTATAAACTCACTAGGGGGAACCAGAAGGGTTTGGGGGAGACGCTGTTTCCCCTAGCCCCCGCTGGCATAACAAGGAGTAATGGGCACAAGTTGATGGAGAGCAGGTACAGATTGGACATCCGAAAAAACTACTTCACAGTTAGGGCGGCTAGGAGCTGGAACCAACTTCCAAGGGAGGTGGTGCTGGCCCCTACCCTGGGGATCTTTAAGAAGAGGCTGGATACTTACCTGGCTGGACTCATTTGAGTCCCGTTTTTGTTTTTAGGGTGAGGTTTTTTTTGGGTTGTTCTCCCGCCCTGGCGGGGGGGGGGGCTAGGAGATCTATTAGGTCCCTTCCGACCCTGAAACTATGAAACTTGCAAGATTCACATATATACGTGAACGCCTCACAAGATTTACAGGCAGAATCAAGTGGAGCTGTAATGGCATCTCAAGATGCATAGGTGAGATGCTAGATGCACCTTCTAAAGGCGATTCCTCTGAGAAAAGGGGAAAAAAAAGCTATGACTGAGGTATGCAACCCCTCACTATTCTGTTATTTCCTATGGGGAAAGTAGTCCCAGCTTACTCGAATTCGACTTACATGAAATTCCCCTGGAAAGCAATACTTGTGTAAATCGGAGGTCTACTGTATCACAGTTAACTGGTTAATCATACAATAAATTTAGACCAGTCATGTGTGCAAAGTAGTTATCACATGATAAAAATGACTACCTACCTATAAAAAGAGCCAACCAGCTACAGAGTTAATGCTTGAAAGCATGTAACAACTCTGTAGCTGGTTTCTATCCAGCTTTAATTTGAATGTGTACCAGGGCCCTGAGAAAAATAGCATGAAGTTCAGACAATGACATAAGACAGCATGTATATGGCCATATGGTTTACATAAAAGTTTTATTTCTAGTTAATTTAAAATGAGTTGCATTACTTCCTTGTGCCATTGCTCCCTTCCTACATTTAAACTGATGAAAAAAGACAATGGGGTGGGGGTTAGAGGGACTTTTACATAAGAATTCCCTAACTATAAAACATAAGCCTAATTTTAATACAAATGTAGAATTGTATGTGCATGTGTCTAGCTATCCCAAGACATACAAGTAACCTGAATCTAATGCTTTGAAGTGTGTTGCCTGTGAGTGAGAATTTTGGCTTAGTAAAACTTTCTGAAAATAAATTGTGGGTCTGCAATACCCCTGCTTCTTACCAAATGTTGTCATTTTCCACTACAGTTTAGTTGGCTCAACAAGTCAGAAGAGCAAAAGGATGAATCTCCTTCATCTTGGAGGCTGGGACTAAGGAAAACTGGCAGCCACAACATGCTCAGTGAAGTTGCTGCTTCTCGTGAAGGACAGAGAGACAGGAGTTCTTTTATCTATCGCTCTTCATCTAGTCCCCGGATTTCTGCATTAATAGACAACAAAGAAAAGGTCTGGTTTCCCCTGAAACAGCCTGCTGATGCATCCCTTCTGAGAAGTGTTAAGCAGCCTGCCTTTCTGCATTGGCACCCCATTTCACAGCACCATTCCTCCATGGGTATAGACAGATGTAACAATTGTATCGAAATCAAAGGAGACTGGTACAAGCTATTATGATGCATCTGTTATATTAACATAACTTTATAGTCATACAAATTTAACAAAACTATTTCATCTTTAACCCTGCTTCATTTAGGGGTAAGGTAAGGCAGTTTAGCTGACTATTATCACTGCAGGCTCATGCAGACAGTTAGATAACAGAGCACAGCTGTTGTGTACTCCAGCAGCTTTTCCCTTTTGAGCAGCTACAAATGTGTGTTTGTCCATATCCCTAGTTTCAATTTTGGTATTAATTCACAATCTCCATATTTTAATATCCTTTTTATACTTTTATGTTGCTTGCATTTGTGGTATCAAGTGCTTTGATATTTATACTTCCCTCTTGATTTGAGCTATTTCTATCTTATTAGCAGTCCATGCAAAACTGGAGTTCAGGACTTCTTACTCCTTCCTGTCTAGGTTATGGTCAGCTTAACACTTTCTGCCAGTTTGTCATCCTACTTGTTTTGAGGGAGACAGTCTAATCAAGCCAGTGCCCTGTTTTCACACTAGTTGTTCCTCTGCTTCATTCTAATGGTGTGGGCACTTGTCACATTTCCAGTGCTTCAGAGGGTGAGCAGACAGATGTGCATGCCAGAGGGGCATGTTCTGGCTAGCCAGAGGCTGAGTTCACAGGAGAGTTGATAATTGACTCTGTTTTCCTGCCCCTGGCAGGAAGGGGAGAAGAAAAGAGAAACTGAGCTGCAGGTCGGAGCAGCTCCCAGGGGCCCAGGGGCTGTAGAGCTACTCACTCGGCAGCAGAGCAAGCTGTCAATGAGTGCTCTCCTTTGTATTCCACCTGCTTTCCCTGAGTGCCCCCTTCATCAGAACTGGGAGAGGTGTTGGGGGTGGTGGGGCCTCTGGTCCCAGTAGGGCAGAGGTAGAGGGCACAGGGTGTTCACAGACAGTCAGCTCTGCTGCGGAGGGGGGACATCATGGTGGGGGAAAGAGCCACAGGATGCAGCAGCTCCTTGTCATGGCCTCTAGCTTGAGAGCAAGCTGCTGCATGCAGTTGCAGTGATCTTGAAGTGCTCCAGCTGGGGGGCATGGCAGGGGGCTTTGTCTGTCTGCAGCTGAAGCACTCCATTTTAGAAGCTCTGCAAAGTGCAGCTGCATTTGAAGTGCTTCAAATGTTATGCATATCTATATCTTAAATATTCCTCAGTGAGCTCTGCCTACAGTTAGCAGTCGGTGATTTACTGCCCATCTATACAAAATCTATCTCAATTGAGATTAGCTCCTAAATTAATATTCCTGCCTTGCTCATGCTAGTTAGCCTTGGAAATGTAATGTCTTGGGTGACACCTATGTGCCAAAAAACCTTAAACTATGTTAAAAGAAAATCAGAAATTGGTGCACTTCTAGTAGCAAAAATTGAAGCACTAATTCAGAGAGGTCACTGAAAGTAAACCAACTTACATTTGAAATATGTGTGTTCTTGTTTTGCATTATCAGGATAAGGACAGCAACAAAAGCTATCTTGCCTCAATAGCCCCTAGAAGACTAAGCAGTACGGGTGACATAGAGGAAAAGGAAAACAGGTAGGACTTCAACTCTGAGCTAAAGGCTTTGGCTTCAGCAGCCTTCATCAATTCATGGAATTCAGTCTTCAGAAGTGCCTTCCCATTTTTATGTTCACGATTCATATGTTTATTTACTAGTCCCAAGTGTGTAGGTGTTTAAAGGCTGGGAGCTGTATCACTGCATGTCAACCTCATGGAATATGCCCTCAATCTTGAAGAAGGGGAGTGATAGGTTTTTTCCCTAACGAAACCATATTCATCATTTAAAAATATGCAGGGTAGTGATATTTGTAACATACACCTCTCCTCACCTTATTAGTATATGTATGAGTGGGCCTTGTTCTTTAAGAAGTGAGTTTCTATTCTTGATCTCTAGCTTTGACTCGTGCTCATAGTGATGCACCTTGCTCTGTTGTCACTTCCTATCTACCTTTGCTGTTAAGCCATCTCTTGCTTTTTGACACAATTTATATTTGTGAGCTTTTTGCACTGTGACTCTGTTATGTCTTTACAGTGCCTAGCACAATGGCATCCTGATCCTTGTTGATTTTCCCCAGATACTTTTGCCATATAAATGGGAATAGCATCCGGTGCCTTAAGATGTGCATGGGGAAGTGCTGTTTCTAACCAGTCCCTTGTAATGTTTTTTCAAGGGAGTAAAAATTGACAAAAGTTGAAAAAACATAGGGAGAAAAGTCAGTACAAACAATTGTGGAGAAACTGTTGCACTGAAGAGAAATCTCTGATAAAGCATTTCACAGTGATTAAATTCTTTGCTACCTGTTGCATTATAGTTGATTTAAATCTTCCACCGTTCTTTGCATGTTAGTAGACAGCTGGTGTTTCAAATTACATAAAGAAAGACTTGGGACTATTTTGAACAGTGCCTCCTATTGTGATGTGCACTCGGCTGAGTGCTGCCAAATATCCTTTGCTCTCTAAAGTGGAGACTAAGATTTCAAGCTAACCTAGCAGGCAGTAGTCACCACATACTGTAAGATACAATTTTTGCAGTATGTTTTCCTTTTAACATAAGCCAAGTCAATGCTACATGGACTATGTAGGAGACAAAGTCCATCTAGGATGGATGGATAGTTTGAATTCAAAACTGAAAAATAATTGGGAGCTATGGAGTGAATGTCACAGTGTCTTGTTCTGTCCATTGGCTGGAAGGAATTGCCACAAAATACTTCTAGGATAGGGGTGAGGGACTAAGCTTTGATTTATTTACCCTATTAAATTGGGTTACTGATTATTTGCTTCTAGACTTGCTAAGTAGTCCTAAATACTGCTAACTGTTTAATACTTGCTGTAAGCGGTATTTTTAAGGAAATAGCATAAGATTTATCACGTTGGATCAGACCAGTGACCTGTAGTCTGGTATTCTGTCTCAATCGGTGACCCGCACTTAATGTCTCAAAGTAAAAACTACCCTTCCAGATGCAACCACTGCATCTGAGCAGCTGTGCAAGGTGACATAGCAAGTTCATTCTACATAATGCCATCGTCTAATGTATGAAATGACAATCTTTAGATAAGTCTGAATTTTAGAATTGTAAGTGCTTCTGGTCAGAAACTACATGGCACTGTCTCTGCAAAATACTATAAGCTTGTGATATTTAAAGAATTGCCTTGGCAATTACTAGAGATAATTTTAAAGCAAATGGGGATATTTCAGTTACTTATCCCTGTGGTGAATTAGTCTGTAAAGGAAGAGCTTGTGTTGCCTGAATATTAAATAGTCTTCGCTTCTGCCAGTGGATGCTGAAGCTGTGGAACTTACCAGGAGGCTGGCAGTTTGAGGAGTCAAGACTAGACTGCAGAGCTTTTCTAAGCCAACCTAATGTTCTCTTACCTCAGAGAATCTGCTGTTAATCTGGTGCGGAGTGGTTCCTACACCCGGCAATCATGGAAGGATGAACCAAAGGGAAACGAAGCCCCCCAGACAGGTGCACCTTCCACCTACATATCTACCTACCTGAAAAGGTATGGCCTGAAACACTTTAGATACAGACAGCAGAATGGATTTTTAACATGTTTTCCAGGCTTCTAAAATGGCAGTTTTCTATTTGCTGCATGGTTATAGCTGGTCTTGGTGTGCTCATTGTTATAGGACTGGTGAAACAAAATATACAATCTGCTGAGTTTTTCCATTATAAACACTGTCTCCCCAGACTTTCATTTTGGCACTGAACTTTAAATACTGTACTGGCACGATTTAGATGCAACATTTCATTTCTCAGATGTTGGTGTAATTGCTAGATGACAAAAAAAATTCCCCTTGAATGTAGGATGAAGTAATTCAATAGTGAACCTCATAGTATCATAGTTGGTAGGGTTGGAAGGGACCTGAGCAGATCATCAAGTCCGACCCCCTGCCATGGGCAGGAAAAAATGCTGGGGTCAAATGACCCTGGCTAGGTGATTATCAAGCCTCCTTTTGAAGACCCCTAGGGTAGGAGCGAGCACCACTTCCAGATCCTAGCCGCCCTGACTGTGAAGTAGTGCTTCCTGATGTCTAGCCTAAACCTACTTTCAGTCAACTGGTGGCCATTATTCCTAGTCCAGAAGGCTACTAAAAAGTTAGTTCTGATAGCCTACGTCTAATTGAGGTACACATTAAGGCATAATTTTTTATATCAGATAATCAAAAAAATAGTACTGTCCATAATTCATGCAGATCATCAGCGTTAGAATGTGATTGATGTCCCCAAATCAACCAACCATTTTCTTTCCATAGTTGGAAAATTAGTTTTTTTTGCAAGCGCATGTGCCACTCTAGAGAAGTGATTGCTGATGAACTAGGAAGGCAGAAAAAGGAAAAAAAAACTGATCATATAACCCCCTTCCCCTTCTCTGCCCCACTGGCAATATCTGCCATCATTTCACCACTATCTTCCCTCAAGAAAGACTAGGCTCCCTCTAATCTTTTGGAATTCAGTGCAAGGCGCAGTAAAGCTTTCAGGATTTTAACATGTTGCTTCATCAAGTACCTGACCCCAAACTGCATAATTTTGTCCTGAACATGGAGGATTTTCCTTTAAATATCTGGAGAGAAGTTGATTTCTTGTAAATGTTGCTCATGTGCCGCATTCTAGCTTTTAGGGGATGATTGCTGATACAGTTAAATTTTCATAGGATATGGTTCTGTAGCCACTGAATAAATGGAATACCATTTACACAAAAGGGGAAAGAGCTGGATATTTTGAAAGCAGAAGACGTTATTCCAGAGCCAGCATTCAATTCTAATGACTCCACATCTATCCTGGGACCTGATGCTAACAGTTCGGGCTGTACCGCCTCTCTCTCTCCCTCTGTTTCTCTCTCTGTCTGTCTCTCTCGGACAAGCGGCAAGAGTTTTTTGCTGCTTGCAGGTAGCATCTCAGAGGCATAATATAGAATAGATACTGTTACCTTATCTGAAAGGTAGCCCAGTCAGTAGAGCTACTGAAAAGTTTACATTTTACTAGGATTTTACAACTTTTCAGCTTTGTGCTCCCGCTAATCTAAAATCAGATACACAATTACAATTTACCAACTGTACTGTGCTGCGCTGCTGTGATTTAAGGTGTATAGGTCTGGCAATGGAATCAGAGCCCAATAACTTCAAGTGAAAGGAGTCTGTGAAAAGACTCACTTACACTATGCTCAGTACTATTGTGCTGGATGAGGAGGGTGGCAGTGAAACTAAAGCTTGAAGGAGAGAGGCATTAGATAGTCTGATAAGGAGCTGGGGAGGACTGGAGGTGGGTTGAGATGTCTTGAGTAGAGGACAACACGAATAGTCAGTGTTTTCCCCCTCCAGGCTTTGGTTGTTCCTCCTCTCTAACTCTCATGCTGGTTCATGTCTGTAATATATTTGCGCATCCAGTCTACTTTCTTTTCTGTTCCTTGTTAGATTTCAGTCTGCTGCCTATTTCTCTCCTGGCTCTGGTTCCAGTCTTGCCTCCTGGTCCTAGTTTTCTAACCTCAAGCTCTGTCCCAATATTTTTTTAGCATGGTAAAATGTATATCACGCTAGTCCATGTTCTTGGGTATGGCTGAACTGTCAAATGGTTGAGCCAGCCAGTACCAGCTGTGGAAAATTTCAGTCCAAGTGATTAGGGTTTGTCAGTTTTAAGCAACTCAACAGGGTCTCAATGTGGGCAACGGCAGTGTTGCCTGATCCTTCTACAATACTTATTTCTCCTTTATGTTAAGTTGTTTCTCATTGTTTTTCCCTTCCCTTCCCTTCCCTTCCCTTCCCTTCCCTTCCCTTCCTGTTAAGTGCACTGTTGTGTCTCTAGTGCTACTTACACTGTGGTCCATTTTTCCCCCAGGCTTTTTCCTGCTTTCTGACTTTCCTAAATTCACCTCCATTCCCCTATTTTCTCCCTGAACTCTGTTCTGTTTTTATAAGTGATGTCGTCATAATCCTGTTCTGTATGTCCCAAGTGTGATCTTTGGTGACCTTGGCACGTTCCATTCTCCTTTGCATTCATTTTGCTGAGACATAAAATGTTCCCTTTCCTGTTCAGCTGAGGGTCTGGAGTGGTCTGCCTGTATGTTAACCATGCTCTGAAGGAGGCAATCCTGTGATATTTTACAGTGCTTCATTTGGTAGAAGTAGTGACCTCAACAGTCCCTACAGTTCAGCCAATCGCAGTACATCTCCAGCTACCTCACCAACTACCATATGTTCATCTACCTCATTGGGCACCCAGTGGCAACCTGCCTCTTCCTGTCCCACATCTGTCAGTGCGAATACTACTGCATCAGTTCGCCAGTATACTAGGTAATGGCTTGTGACTCATTCACGTGAATCTTTAGTTAAAACAAAGTTTCAAGAGTTATGGGGAGGTGCATGTTCTGAATCCTGGAATTGTTCAGAAATTTATTTGGTCATAATCTGTTTCATGATGAGTTCTGGAAACCCATTTCAATTTAAAAAGTACATGTATTTGCAGTATGGACAAATGTACATTTGTAGCCACTTTGAAAGGGGAGGGGAATCTGCTGCTCTAGAGTGCACAGCAGCTGTTACACTAACTTTTATATCTGCATGAGCTTGCAACCATATGAGTGAGCTAAATTGCATTAGGTTTGACCATAGGTGAAGCAAGGTTAATGTTGGAGCAGTTTTGCTATACTTGCACTGCTACAGAATTGTAGCATAACAGCTTGTACCTGTGTATCCTTTGATAGCAATTCAGTTGTTATTTCTGTTTATACCTGAGGTTGTTTTAGTAATGCCTATGCATCAGGAAGCATTTGAGATTTGCATGCATACTCTTAGCTTGGTCACTTCTGACATGAATGATCAACCATTCATTCTTGCTTTTTGCACGTGGAATCTGAGGTTGCTCTGAGGTTTTGAATAGGATCTTTGGGTCCATCCATTTTCCAGCTTATTCACCAGTTTAATTCTTTCAATCTTTCCAATCACTTTCTGCCCTTTCTTCTAGATGTCCTTAAAGGTACCATTCTTTTCAGAACCAGGAGCAGAGACTCAAGGAAACGTATTGTTAATGGTTCCTTGAGGCAGTTGTTTAGTCTTGGTAGCCAACCCAGTTCACTTAGTTTGCATCCTGTTATGTATGTCTTGTCTGTTTCAGAGTGCCATCCCGGCAACAAATTGACTCTGCTGTAGAGAAAAATACAGAGAACATCTCTGCTATCACTCCACTAAGTGTAATCACAAATCGCACTGCACTCAGTTCTGCCAATGGTGTTACAAATGCCAGTGCTGCCGCAACTACTGGAAAGGACTCAGCTGAGGAGGCCAGGGAACGCAGAAGGTTAGTGAATAAAGTCAGTGCTTTTCATCCATGAGATCTGCATGTGTTTTATGCAGTAGGGGTACCACACCTTCTTTAGGTGCTTCCTGGTGTCACTGGTTAATGCTCACATCTTCCAGCTTGAAGTCTTAGATTAAATTGTCACTGGGTGTGTCTACACGTGCGCTTTAATAGCCTACACGTGCATTTGAATGTCCTATTTTACTGTGGATTAGAGCGTCACATTAAAAACCAAGCTAATATGCCAATGCACACTGTGCATTGTCACTAAAAAAGCATGTGCTTTCACTGCTGCACATTATGGGGGTCTAATGCGCATTTATTTAGTACCTCACATTAGAGATACTGAATTTAATGCACAGTAGCAAAATCACATTAGTGAAAGTATAGACGTGCTGACTGAGTTGAGATGAAAATGAGTTTGGTTTGAGCTTTTTCGTTTGTGACCTCTTGAGGTACTTCATCTTGGTCTCCTGGAAACAACTCTGGTAATTAGATTTCAGTCTCTGTAGTCTTTCTGGGTACTGATTTTTATGGTGGTGTGTGATGTGAATACTTTTCTTCAGTGGACTCTGGAAATCAATGCGTCTCTTTAGTCCAAAAGCACAGAGCAGTGTCAGTTATGTAGCTATGCTCTGGTACAATGAGGAGGAGTTATTAAACATAAGCTGAATCTCTATGTGGTTGGCATACAGTCAGTGACATTCACAGTAGCAGCATTTTACATATTGTTTTGATGATGAGACTGGTATAGCCTCTTATCACATGAAGTTACTTTTAAATTTCAAAAGAAATAAGCCTGAGGTAGCTATTTGTAAGGAAAGCTTATCATGTATCAGTACAAACAGAACATCAAATGCACAAAGTTCATTCTTGTGAACAAGTTAAATGTGCCAGAACTATTTCTCCTAGTGGTGCCACACCAAAAAAAAAAAATCATAAAACAAAAGCAATACTAAATTGTATATTTTTACTATGCAGCCTGCTTTGGAAGGAGGTAAATAACTCAACAGGAGAGCAGTGCTTGTGGGAATTAGATTTCTGTAACCTTTTTTTTTTTTTTTTTTTTTTTTTGGGTCTTAAAATTCCCAGTTCTCCCAAGTAGAAATGGTTCTGTATTAGGCTAAATATTGCCAGAAAATGAAAGAGGAGGTGATCTATAATAGAAATTGTCATTTCTTTACTTCACAGAGCCATACAATCTGTGTTTGGCTATAGGATCATCTCTTCAGGCAGCTTATAACTAACCTCTCTCCTTCAGTTGTAGTAAATCTGAGAAAGGGAGCTAAAGTATTCTTTTTCAACAAGTACTTGAACTCAAGCAAGTAGATTCTCACAAGCTACTATAGCCAAGGCTCTCATGGTGCAATGAGCTTTCTGCATGGGTAAGAGTACAATAAGGACTTGCCTTCTCAGGGAACTGACCTGAAATACCTATTGCAGAATACCTGAACTGTGCTATCACCTTGTACGGGCAAATTTTATTTCACAGGAGTAGTACCTGTGTCCAGGTGAAATAAGCTGACTTGCATAAGAAATTCTTAGTGAAAAATGTGTTTATTCACATGGGCGGTTAAAATGGAGTAGCAATTCCCATTTTAAATGTATAGCTTGTTTTGTTTTGCTGTAGCATCCCAATGTAGGTAAGCCTGAAATGAAATTATAGTGGCTTTGGATTCTTCACAGAAATGTTTTCACCCAAATACATGTTCGTGGCATTACCTACAGAGAAAAATTTTTTGTCAATGCCAAAATTTGAAGCAGCTATTAACATTACTGCTTTAATATTTATTGCAAAAGTTAATACACGTAAGTATTGTAGGATGCATTGAAATTTTGTGAGTTGTCTTCACTGAAATTTGGTCATTGTAAGAAAAAAAATCTTGCTTCTTCTAGCTGATGGTTTGCTCAGTAGTTCCTCCATGTTTTCATTAGTGCATTGCCCTGGTGGGTTCAGACTGCCTTTGCTAATGTGGAGTCATGAGTAGTTGGGGATACTGGAACAGAGGACTGCTTGCAGCTTTTGAATGGGGTTCTGGGAATTGCAAAAGCCAGTTGTGTAACCCAAATGGAAAAGCGTTCTTTTGAAAAGAAGCCAGTTTGTTAAAGGAAAATGGGTAACAGTTGCTGGGGAAGCACTATATGGATTTCAGCTCCCAATGGCAGCTGTCACAATAGCACGTTCATGTAGTTCAGTGTTTCTAAAGTTCCAGGTTTCTCTTAGCAACAATGACAACATAAACAAGCCCACCGGCTAATATTAGATCATTGAGATGTCTCCATAATATAAATTGCCTTTCTAAAGCCAAAAGATTAAAGTGAAATGCTCTTTTAGGTTTTGGGAAGAATGACTGGCAGAGTGGGCTGGGATGATCTTCTTTCTCCACTGAATACCAGTATGCCCTTTGTCTTGGATTCTGAAATATCATGCCATCTGTCTTGCAGTATCTTTACCACTGTGTTCTTGTTAACCGTGTTGATTGGCAAAAGCTAGAATAGTAGCTTGCGCATCACGTATAAATTCCATGTCGTTCCTTTAAAGAGCACAAGCAGTATCCATTCAGTGGAGAGATTCTGTGCAGTTTGTATAAAGCCAGGAAGATTGCAGGGGGGGGAGGAACTTGTTTGTTAAATCCAGTCAACCCTCTATGGTATGTTCTTGTGTACACAGGTGTATGTTAGTCTCCCCCCCTTAATTTTGTTGCAACATTGCACCATTCTGTGTTTGAACCTGCTTGGTGGAAGCTTCCTTTGCATCGTCCATTGCCCCATCATTCTTGTCAGCAGATATTTTCTTTCACACAATTGTAGAAGCTGGAGATGCTGAATGCCTGATGGGCCATCTGGATGTTCGTCTACCAGTGCCGTACCATGTCCTCTTGTAAATCTGTCGATCCCATCTAGCTTTACATTTTGTAATGGAATAGTTTCCTGAAGGGCTTGAATTATAGGCTCATGCAAACCATATATAAAAGACATTGCACAAAACTATTTTCCATATATAAGAGAGTAATAGCTCTCTCCTTGGTTTGTGTTCAAAAGAAGTGGATAGTAAGGGCTTTGTAGATTTTCTGTTAGTTGCAGTCTCCCTCTGGTGAAATGATTGTCTGCTGCTTCTGAGGTGTAGTGGCGACCCCTGTTGCCTATAAGAAATTCTTAATATTTACAGCAGGAGCTCCCTTTGCTGCTACTGCTGTTGCAGTGATTTCTCCCAGTTGTTATTAGTTTTAATGATCACTTTCCCTTGAATTGTGTCTGTTACTGCAGAGCTTGTTAGGTTGGGACTGTGTTCACTGCTGTATATCACCTTATCTTGCACAGAAAACATCTTACTTTTTTACTGTACAGATCCTAATGTACCTCCTAGATCAGAGGTTCCCAACCACCGGGCCACAGCCTGGTACCAGGCTGCAAAGGTTGGCTGCTGGGTCATGGCACAAGCCCCCCGCTTGCACCCCCATTTGTCTGCCTATGCAAGCGGCTTCCGCTGCTGGCAGTCATGTGCAGAGTGAAAGCTGGGTGGTGGGGCAGCCCCGGGAGGGAAGCAGCTGGCTCCGTGTGTCCCGTCCTGCTCCTGTGCCAGTCCGCAGGTTGGGAACCACTGTCCTAGATGGACTGCCAGGTAGATGTTGTTGAACCAGAACCTGCCTGGATGTTAGTTGCCTAGATATTGTTTCAAGTGCTTTGCTGATCTTGGAAGGTTTCGGAGTGCTCAGACTATCATCCAGGCAGGGCTGATTCAGAAACGGCTATAAATCTTTTTGGGACCCCACCCCAAAATCCAAGTCAGGTTGAAACAGTGTGAATGCCACTGCTTGTAGTGAACGTTCACATCCTAAAGGAAAGCTCATCCTGCATTACTTTTTGAAAGGCAGAGAGGCAAGCTCCGGTAAAGTTTTGTGTTCCCCTAGGAACAGTGTAAAGGGATATCCCTAGATCTGAAATCCAGTCCATTTTATGCAAGTTAGAATTAGTGTAGCTAATTACCCCCTCCACTTTGAAACTCCTCTACCAACTTGTCTAGACAATTGCAGCTTTTATTCAAGTGTTTTCTCACATTCCACGTGAAACATCTATTCAAACAAAAAATAGTGTTGACTGCCTACAGTTGACTATAGACAGCCAAGTACATGGTTTGGTTCCCTTTTTTTTTTTCATGTTCTCGGGTCAAACAGTAGAAAAAGCATGCAGAAGAATTGGGTCTGCCTCCTTTATGACTCCAAGATCAAATCTAGCATTGGTTGCTGTCTACTTCTTGAAAGAATTGGATGTGATATTAGGGAAGGGATGTGATGTGAGAGTAGAGAACTTCTACAGGTTCTCTACTCAGGGATGAGGATAACCTGGAGAGGGTTCAGAGAAGGGCCACTCGTATGGTTAAGGGCCTACAGACCAAGCCCTACGAGGAGAGGCTAGAGAAACTGGATCTATTCAGCCTCTGCAAGAGAAGGTTGAGAGGCGACCTTGTGGCTGGCTATAAGTTCATCACGGGGGCACAGAAGGGAATTGGTGAGGATTTATTCACCAAGGCGCCCCCGGGGGTTACGAGAAATAATGGCCACAAGCTAGCAGAGAGCAGATTTAGATTGGACATTAGGAAGAACTTCTTCACAGTTCGAGTGGCCAGGGTCTGGAACGGGCTCCCAAGGGAGGTGGTGCTCTCCCCTACCCTGGGGGTCTTCAAGAGGAGGTTAGATATGCATCTAGCTGGGGTCATCTAGACCCAGCCCTCTTCCCTGCCTATGCAGGGGGTCGGACTCGATGATCTATTGAGGTCACTTCCGACCCTAACATCTATGAATCTAGGTGAGCAGAGTTGACTGATGTTTGGTCAAATGTCTCTGTTTTCCTTTCCTTTTAATTCCAGTGGGATTTCCAGGGATCTAGTAGGATCATGTAGACTAAATTCTGTAATGTGTATTAATAACTGAGCCCTATGACCTCCCTCATCAATTTTGTTAGACAAGCAGTTTTGGCAAGACTGTTTACCTCGTGATTCT